AGTATGCATTATGCAATCCAATATAGGAGAAGCATAATTTGGCCTTCTCATTCCTGTGTTGAGGCCATTCTGGGCCATGACTCTCTCTATCATGGTGGTTAGATTGTTTTCTGCCAAGATGTTATCGTTTCGAATTCTATGAACGACAGCATCGGCATCTTGATTTCGACCAACCAAGACAACTCCCCTAGGTTGTTCTTCTCGAAACTCTGGGGCTTCTAGCCTTTCGACCCTTGCCCCCGTTCCATAATTTCTCTTTGTGGGCCTGGGATTATTGGGGCTTCTAACCTTGGTGCCCTGGCCCCAAAGTTAACTTCTTCTCTGGGTAGTCTATAAATTGGGTCGTTAGCAATTTGTTCTATAACAGGCATGTTTGCTCGAAATCCCGCCTGATTCTGCCTACGCCTTTCTGGGGGAGCAAAGAAATCTGCTATTCGACTCATGTTGTCAGCGTTTTCCCTGTTTGTCACAGTCACATTTTGCACTATTGGGGCAAAAATCTCCTGCATGGTTTGTGCTAACACCCCTATCATATTATGGTTACTGTCATCCATCAATTGCCTAAAAGCCAACTGGTTTTCTGTGGTTAAGATATGCATTGTGCTATAACCCACTGACCCTTGGTTATTTGTCATAAACTGGTTCGCCCCAGACCCAGACCCTAGTTGTGGGGATGAATTCGATGTGGAATTGTGTAAACCTGCCATAAAAGATGTTGGCATTCCATAAGAGGAATTTCTGGTTCTATTTCCATCGAAACTGGGTGGTCTAGTTGATGGAGTGGTGAAATGGGATTGTGTCCCTGATGGTGGAACGAATCCCCCAGGGTAACCAATGGTTCCAGCATTTCCTAAGATCGAGCTATTAGTTGATATGCCACTTACTCCATTTGTGGCTATATTACTGGTTGAAGATGCAACAGACTGTGCATTCGAAGGGATCACATTAGATGTTCCGATCGAAGTGGACACATTAGTGCCTGTTGTATATGGGGCATTTTGTTCCCCTTGTTGATTGTCAGAATTAGACATTTTGTCCAAACATTTTCTTCTGGATAAAGGTTGGTTGCTGTTGGTTATTTTACCACTTCTCAGGTTCATAAAACAGCAAACTTCTTAGGTTCCAACGTTTTTATAATGGTTATGTCTCAACAATCTTTATTTCTAATATCCAATTATTGGTCCCACCAGGTGTGTCAATTTGTTTCCAGTGATTTCTGGTAAACAACCGCTAGTCTTCCAAACTATCGAATAATCTTTCTGACTGTTATTCAATTCCTCTGGTAACTCACAGGATCGACTAGATTGATCCTAGAATTCCTTGGTCATTAGGGTTACTCTCATGATCAAACAGATATTCATGGTTGATATTTGAGTGTTGTATAGGTGTTTGGCCTATTTCGATTTCTCTCTCAAAGGTCTAAAGATGTAATCAAAATGTGCGTGTACGAAACTAAGTTGCATGAATAAATGTTAATTGTAAAGACATGTAAAATTGCATAAAAGGCAAGTAAATGGTTTCGAATTATAAAAACAGTTAATGTAAAGGATTTCTGGAACGTAAAAGGTTTGAAATATGAAGAAAGCGTTTAATGCAAGAAATCTGTAAATGACTTTAAGTAAAAATAGGCATTCGAAGGATAAAGCTTGAAGGTAAAGGCATGGAAAATATGACAGTTTTGTGAAATGTAAAGTGCTTGAAATGTGAAGAAAGCATTGAAATGTAAAACTTTAATGAAGAGATTTCGAAGTGAAAAGACTGTAAATGAGAAAACTTATAAATTTTATTTGACAGAACGATAAAGGAAAGTGCTGGAAATGGTAAAAGGTTTTCATTAAATCATAAATATATGTGGTGCTATCATACGTACATTGCTCTTGCATTCGTTTCCCTTGCCATGTGGTAGTTTGAATGTTACTGAGTATTTAGTACAATAGATATGACACACGAAATCCTAATACTAAGACTTCTATTTATACTAATTCGACCATAACGGTATTGTTATAGGATTATGCCACGTTCAGAACATGTAAAACAATGCCTCTTTCTTCTTTCCACGTGTCTCCAAATGCTCCAGCACATAAATTTCAAACTTCGAATGTCCCGCTTCCATTTGAATTTCAAATGCTTTGGTACTTCTCCGTTTCGAACGCACTTCCCAGACACAGCCTTGTTGTTATTTTGAGACTTCTTTAGATATGTTTCCATAATTGCCACTCGAAGCTCCAGCTTTGACATGCTTACTCGAAACACTGCTTCTGCTACTTCGAAACATGACGTTTTACTTCATTTCGATCGAAACGTTTAATTCATTTGGCTTCTAATAATATTATCAAAATCTTCAGCCAACACTTATACTCCACAACAAAATGGAATTGTAGAAAGGAAGAATCGAACCATCATGAATATGGTAAGAAATATGTTGAAAGACAAGAATTTACCTAAAGAGTTTTGGGGTGAAGCTGTTTCGACTGCAACATATATTTTGAACAGATGTCCTACAAAGAAGCTAGAAGGAATTACTCCAGAAGAATGTTGGTCTGGTGTGAAGCCTAACTTGAGTCATCTTAAGGTATTTGGATCTATTGCACATAGACATGTGCCAGATCATTTGAGAAGGAAACTTGATGATAAGTCAAGTCAAATGATTTTAGTTGGATATCATTCGACAGGAGGCTACAAGTTATTTGATCCAGAAAACAAGAAGATTGTGATCAACAGAGACGTGATCATAAATGAGTTTAAAGAATGGGATTGGACTGAAAATGTCAAGAAAGATTCAGTGGGAATCCTATTCGAAGAGCCAGAAACTCAAGTCGAAAGAGAAGTTCGACAAGAGAAACCAGCAGATATACCAAGTACAAGCAGACCTCAAAGAACAAGACGCATGCCTGCAAGATTGCAAGATTGTGTAATTACATCAGATAATGTAATAGATGATGAAGGTGAGCTGGTACATTATGCTTTCTATGCAGATGTCGAACCCGTTAATACAGTTGAAGCATTGAAGGATTCGAAGTGGGTAAAAGCAATGAACGAAGAAGTGAAGTCTATCAAAGACAACAACACTTGGTCACTTGTCGAATTGCCTCAAGGCAAGAAGGCAATTGATGTCAAGTGGATATACAAAATAAAAACGAATTCGAAAGGTGAAGTAACTCGACACAAAGCAAGGCTTGTGGCGAAAGGATTTCTACAGAAAGAAGGAATAGACTTCGATGAAGTTTTTGCACATGTTGCTAGGATCGAAACAATCAGGTTTATTGTTGGTCTAGTAGAAATAAATAGTTGACACATATATCAAATGGACGTGAAGTGTGCATTCTTAAATGGACCCTTAGATGAAGAAGTCTATGTTAAACAATCAATTGGGTTTGTGAAACATGACGAAGAAAGAAAGGTGTACAGGATGCATAAAGCCTTGTATGGATTGAAACAAGCTCCAAGACCTTGGAATAAGAAAATTGATAGTTTTCTAAGGAAGAAATAATTTATAAAATACACAACTAAACATGAAGTATATGTAAGAAGAAACAATAGTGAATTGCTTATACTATGTCTCTATGTAGATGATTTGTTGATAACAGGTAGCTGTAAAAGTGAGATCGAAGACTTCAAAGGTGATCTCAGCAAGGAATTCAAAATATCTGATTTGGGTGAGATTTCATATTTCCTTGGCATCGAATTCTACAAGAGCAGTAGAGGTTTGATGATGCATCAAAAAAGATATGCAGGAGAAATTCTCAAGAGGTTTGAGATGGAAAAATACAACACAACTTCGACACCTGCAGAACCAAGACTGCAACTGTCGAAAGATGCAGATGAAGATGATGTTGATCCAACCCAATACAGAAGACTTATTAGATCATTAAGATATCTTTGTCATACAAGGCCCGACTTAGCATACAGTGTAGGTATGGTAAGTTAATTTATACAAAAGTCAAAGGTATCACATCTAGCAGCAGTAAAAAGGATATTGAGGTATCTCAAAGGAACTTTCGATTATGGCATTTTGTTTCCTGCAACTGATAAAAGAAAAGAATGCAAGTTAGTAAGATAGACTGATTCGAGTTGGTGTAGTGATGTTGAAGATCGAAAGTCAACAGCAGGAAATGTGTTTATGCTAGGTGGTGTACCAGTTGCTTGGAATTCAAGAAAAGAACCAGTAGTGGCATTATCATCATGCGAAGCAGAATACATAGCTGCTTCTCTTTGTGCATGTCAAGCAACTAGGATGGTGAACTTGATCGAAGAGATAACAGGGAAAGATCATGGAGCAATTACCATGAAGATCGACAACATGTCAGCTATCAATCTGACGAAGAACCCAATAGCACATGATCGAAGTAAGCACATCGAAATGAGGTTCCATTATCTTCGAGAGCAGGTAGTAGATAGGAAGATGAATTTGAAACACTGCAGAACTGAGAATCAGATTGCAGACATCATGACGAAAGGAGTGCAAGTTGAAGTATTTAGAAGACTAAGAGTCATGATGAATATAGATAGTTTAGACACAATGAATTAGGTGGTGTGTTAAATTGTAATCCAGTGTGTCGAAACTATGTGTTGAAAAAATTTAATTTGTTTTAGATTTAAATAGATTTGATTTAAGTCTAGAATAAATTAGATTTGATTTAATAACAAAAAGATATTTTGGGCTTTGGACTTAGGGTGTAAGCTCAGTTATAAATAGAGGGAGTAACCCCTATTTTTGTAAGCAAGTCAAGCAAGTTGTATTCACATAATTTGCAGTTACAAGTGAATAACAAAATTTTTACAGTTTGTGAGCAGAGAGAAACTCTGCAGAAATTATTTGTTGTCTTATTTGCTTTGTTTGTCTCATAATTAAATTGTCATTGTGATAGAAATTTATCGGACTTTGGTGAGTTTCCAACTATATATATAATACAAAAAGTGTTAGTCCAATGGAACAAATTTTCAGCCACTATGCACACGAATCTAGCAGCACATCATACTCATAATTAAATCCTTTAGCTTCAGAACACCATCATATCATAAACAAGGTACACCGTTAAAACATCTACAGCCGCATCATCCCAGCAACAAAAGAGACACCAGCAGCTTAAGAACATACCGTACACAAAGCAAAAACTAACAACACCAGAAAAGGCGAGCGAGTTGCAAAATCCATCCAGAAACACGAATACTTTTCCAGCAAAAAAGATCAAGACAATTCCCTAAAACATATAGCAGCAGTGCAAGAGTAGTAGCAAAATTTCCACCAATGACATATTATTTGAGAAAACACACTTTTGCATTACACCCATTAACAAGCAGAGTGATTGTGTATAAGCAGGACATGATCCTTCCTTAACAAGATCATCGATATTGTTGAAATATGCTGCAAATTCAGAACTTGTTTATTCCAATGAGAACAGTGTTCCTTTATATGGTTGAAATATGCTGTAAATTCTGAACTTGTTTATTCCAATAAGAATGGTGTTCCTTTTGTTGGAGAGGGTACATAAAGACACTCCATAAATTAAGAAGTAATATAAGAAATTGAAATAAATTAAACATAAAACTAAATAGTATCAAGACTAATAATGATTAACTATTTCAACATATATAGACTAAAAGAATTTAAATGCATGAGGTGATACACACAGACAAACATAAAAGAGGAGGAAAGAGAGAATATGTCAAACCTGTCAAATTTTCTCTTTCAAAATACTTGTGACTTAACAATTCATTCCCGTTTGAATTAAAAGAGACTTAAAGGAGTGCTTTGACATGAAAGGTGTGCTTGACTGCCATTAATTCATTAGCAGTTGAAAACTTTATCTTCATAGTTGCAATCCAACCAAAGACTTTTAAGCCTTGGAAGGTGTTAGAAGGTGATGATAGTTCAAGGGAACTAGTAACTGGTTCATCTAAAGCAACAAGAGATGACATCTGAGAAGATGTTTGAAATCTGAATGGAAGATTATTTCTTGGTGACATCACATGAGAATAAGGTTTCGGTATTGAATAACTTGAAAGATTAGCTCTCAACTTAATCTTATTTATATTGAATATTGTACAACCAATATCCTTTAATTCAGAGGATAAATCAATACACAATCAATCCTAATGAATACATAAATATATACAAATCATTCATATATGAACATCAAAGGCTAAATGATGGGTGGAAACATATCACGTGAAAATCCCTCAAAAATATATCAAATGCCTTTTGACCTTCTAACTGAAAAAGGAACTTTTTTATCGCAGTGTTATTGAAGATTCCGTTTGTTCCGAGTCCTCTTCCAACTTTTCAATCTTTAAACAACCAGAAAGAAGGAGAGTTTTCAGAGATTTCAACTTATAGATGCTACTTGGGAGGCTACATAAGCTAACACAGTCTTCCAAATTTATCAGAAGAATTTTCTTGAGATCTCCAATGGTAGGAGAAACCGCATATAACAATGGACAATCTTTGAGTACTAGCTTTTCAAGATTAGGCATGTTTGAAAAGTCAGGGCTTTGTGTGAGAAAGTGAGAATGACTAAGATTTAGAATTTTCAGCTTCACCATCCACTGCAAGAAGATAAATATTATTGAGGAACTTAAGGAAGAGGCTTCAAAAAGTAAATAGAAAGGATTGCAGTGCATCACTAACCATGAGAGCGGAAAGTAAAACATTTAGATTAGTGTAGAGTTATTTTTTTTAAATATTAGTGGAAAATCTTTTTAAAAGGCAAATTTTTGCATATATATTGTATAAATTTCCTTACAGTATCTCATCCAATTATATATTGTTAAATGTTTACTAAAGTTTCATTATTAAAACAAGAACTAACAGTAAATAAAATTTATTTAGAGATTTAACTTGAAAGGTCGTGATTTTTAAATTTAAATTCGAACATAACTATGAGAAGTGATAATAGCTCATGAAGTATGAAAAACAAAAATTAAAACACATACCAGAGTCTTATTCCCTAGAAGTTCAAGATTGCTGTTCTTTAACTCGATGGAAACTAAATTTTTTCGATAGAAGTTTATAGGAATTTGACTTAATCCATTCCATGACAGCCATCTCAGATCTCTAGAAACATATTCAAAATCTCCATCAAGTTTTACCTCATCAAGTTGAAGGAGTCTGAGTCTCTCCATCTTCTCAAATGCTTTAGTACTAAAACATTTTGCATTAGCTCTAGACAGCTTTAAAGCCAGTCCCAAAACACCTTCTTTTCCCTATAAAGTAAAATGAACCAAAAAGAAATAACATCAATAAGGCAGGTATAAAATTGTCATGAATCCAATCATATATTACAACTAACAAAAAGTCAGGAAGCACAAAAAGATTCACCATCAAACTAATTTTCAACGATCTCTTAATAATCAACAGAACAAAGGGATATTGACAATTGAATCATAAATGTTTCTTTTAACTTCTTAAGCTCTACATATTATGAATCCATAGTTCTAAGAAAATAGTATATATGAAGCTCTTACATTTTGTCTTGATAATACGTCAACCACATCCTCGTGAAACCACAACCTACTACGTTCCTCAGGCCTCCTTGGTGATTCCTCACGAATGATTTCTCTTCCCATATCTCGCATCAAACCATGCATTCCAAGAATGTTCTTATCATCAACAGTCACGAGGCTTCGCTCAACAAGGACCCTTATTCCAATTTCAGCAGAAAGTCCACAATCATTTAATACAAGTATAACATCATTTCGGTCCATCCCAATAAAGAAACAAGCTATGTCAAGGAATATTTCTTGCTCATCATCATCATTTAAACCGTCATAACTTATTCTTAACTTATTCTGCACTTGGTTATGAGGAATTCTTTGGAGTTTCTCCAATACAAGTTCCCACTCCGACTCCGTCTTATTATACAAATAAGACCCAAGGACTTCAAGGGCTAGTGGCAACCCCTCAGAATATTTAACTACATTTATGGAAATTCTATCAAAATCTCTAGTAGGAGTCGCTTGCTTAAATGCATTCCAACTAAAAAGCTCCATTGATTCACTTTCATTCATTATTGTCATATTGTATATTTTGTGAACTCTCCTTTGAAGTAAATGCATATCTCTGGTTGTGATGATTATTATACTCCCTGGACCAAACCATTTGGGACTTCCACAGAAAGTATGCAATTGGTCTAACGTATTCACATCATCAAGTACAATGAGTACTTTTTTGTAACTGAGTTTACTCTGCAATGTGTTCATTCCTGACTCGATGTTAGGTATCGTGATTGTTGGTTCTTTGCAGATATCAAATAGAAGTTGCTTTAGCAAACCCAGTAGTCCATCTATTTTCTCCCCATTTTCTCTAATATTAGCAAGGAAGCTCCTACCTTTAAAATTGCGGCCAATCTTATTGTAAATGGCTTTTGCAAGGGTTGTTTTGCCAATTCCCCCCATGCCCCACATCCCTAGTAGTAGAACACCATTTGATTGAATGGGTAGAAGTTGAATCACTTCTTGCACTCGAGACTCAATTCCAACAGGATTATGTGCAACAAACAAGTCTGTCTTGTTGAGCAAATGTGAAACATTGTCAACAATTCTTTTGATATCTTCACTTTCATTCCTACACAAATAGAATGTATATGTATACATACATACATGCTCATATATTCTCCCTTAGTACTATATTATAAGCAAATTTAGTTTTTTATATTCATTGAATAATTGATGTATTTTGTCTATATATAGACCAAATACATCATGTTATGACTCAAGGGAGAATTGGGCTCACAAGTGACAGGCCCAAAAGAACAATTAGACAGCCTGTTAAGTTCAAGGATTTTGCCATGAGAAAATGAGGTCATCTAGAAGGTTGTTAGTATTAGTTCCTTGTAGTGGGTCGTTTACATGTCATCACAGAATAATCACTAGATTTGCAGTTTGTTAGGATTCTGATTTCCTATTTATGCATTGTACTTTTCCTCGTTTGAGGCATCAATGAAATAACAACTATTTCCTCATCTTTCTTCTTAGGAGGCCCTTAGTCCTCAAAATCTAAGGAAAATACCGTTACTTAACATTGTTGCTCTCATTGAGAGATTCTCCCTTCCACCAGTAACATGGCCGGAACGCGTGCTACCTCTGCAAATGAGCGCATTGATGAGCTTGCTCAACAAATGTCCATTGTGCTTTCTCGCCTGGATGATATAGGTCATCGGTTAGATGAAACTGCTCTGAATACCGTGCATTCACCATCACCGTCAACGGCGGACAGCAACCATCGGCCACGACTGAAGCTGGACGTTCCCCGTTTCAACGGCGGTGACACCCATGGTTGGATCTTCAAGATCTCACAGTTTTTCACTTACCACCAAACACAGGAGGAAGACCGCATCACCATAGCTTCATTCTATCTCGATGGACCAGCCTTATCCTGGTACCAATGGATGTATCGGAATTCCCAAATCATTTCATGGAATCAATTCCTCATAGCGCTTGAAACTCGGTTTGCTCCTACTGCGTATGATGACCCACGTGGTAACCTCTTCAAGCTTACCCAAACCGGTTCTGTTGCTGAATATATTACTGAGTTTGAAGCCATAGCTAATCGAATTGTGGGGTTGTCACCGATGGATCTACTGAGTTGTTTTATTTCGGGTCTTAAGACAGAAATAAAAAGGGAGGTGTTAGCTCAACAACCCAGCTCGATGACGCAGGCAGCGGGGTTGGCTCGTCTCCACGAAGAGAAGTTCAATGATCAAACCAAGATTTCGCGACCAAAGACGTTCCAGAACAACTACCAAACACGGCCGCCGCTGAATCCAGTTCCTCTACGAACAGTCCCGGGGTTGCTACCAACACCCCCACAAAAACCTCGATTCCGTCGTTTATCAGAACCCGAATTAGCAGAGAAGCGAGAAAAGGGGCTTTGCTTCAACTGTGATCAGAAATGGTCGCGACAACACCGCTGTAGCGGAAGGGTGTTCTTGATGGTGGCTGAGGATGCCGAAGACGAAGGAGATGCAGAACAAATAGAAACGACAGATGATATGGAAACCCCTCCAGAAGAATCGCCGCCGGCCCAGCTGAGTTTACATGCTCTTGCTGGGTCACAAGTCACCGATACTTTTCGGGTATTAGGTCGGATTCTGGAAAACCTGGTCTATATCTTGGTGGATGGAGGCAGTACTCACAACTTCATTCAATCCAGTATTGCAGCCAAATTGGGCCTTCCACAAAGCCCAACTCCAACCTTGAGAGTTATGGTAGGGAGTGGTCAAGAGTTGAAATGCACTAATGTTTGCGTGGGGTGAAATTGTTAATTCAGGGTAATTGGTTTACCACAGACCTTTACGTTTTGAGCTTACTGGGAGCTGACGTGGTCTTGGGAGCCCAATGGCTTAAACAACTGGGGCCGGTGCTAATGGATTATCAGACCCTCACCATGAAATTCATACAGCAAGGTTTGAGTGTGGAGTTACAAGGAGAGACTAGTACCTTCCGTACACCCCTCACATTTCATCAATTACAAAGAGTGACAAAAGGCAATTGTGAAGCACAATTCTTTTCCCTCAAAATTTATGATCCTAATCGAGAAACCCTAATCCTCCCCTCAACGCCTCACTCGGATCCTAATGTTCACAATTTGCTCCACCAATTTGACCACCTATTCTCTGAACCCGCCTCATTACCCCCTGCAAGACTCACTGATCATCATATTAACCTTACCACTAATGCTGCCCCTGTCAATGTGCGGCCATATCGCTATCCACATGCGCAGAAAACTGAGATTGAAGAACAAGTTGCTAAGCTATTGGAAACAGGTTGGATTCAGCCAAGCACAAGTCCATTCTCGTCCCCGGTGTTGCTCCTTAAAAAGAAAGATGGTATCTGGCGTATGTGTGTGGACTATCACGCACTCAATGCTATCACTATTCGAGATCGATTCCCTTTACCAACTATCGATGAACTGCTTGATGAACTTGGTGCTGCGAGAGTATTTTCCAAGTTAGATTTAACTTCGGGATTCCATCAAATCAAAGTAGCTCCCTAAGATGTTCATAAGACAGCATTTAGGACGCATGATGGGCATTACGAGTATTGAGTATTGTGTGATGCCATTCGGGCTCTGTAACGCCCCAGCTACTTTCCAGGCTACCATGAATGACATATTTCGCCCATTGTTGCGGAAAATGGTCATTGTCTTCTTCGATGACATCTTAGTATTCAGTCCCACACTAGAGGCTCACTTGCAACACTTGGAGCAGGTCTTTAGGATCCTATCTCATCATAGATTCCATCTGAAGGTTTCCAAATGTTCATTCTGCCAACCTCAGATATCATACTTGGGTCACATTGTTAAGGCTGGTTCTGTGTCGCCGGATCCGTTGAAAAACCAAGCAGTAGTGGATTGGCCTTCACCAAAAACAGTCAAAGGATTGCGAGGATTTTTAGGGTTGTCGGGGTTTTACAGAAGGTTTGTAAAGGGGTATGCATCATTAGCTCTTCCTCTGACTAATCTCTTGCGAAAGGACGCCTTCAAATGGTCCAATGAAGAACAACAAGCTTTTGAATCCTTGAAGAAGGCTTTGGCCACAACCCCTGTTCTCATTCTACCTGATTTCAAAGAGCCTTTTGTAGTACAAACAGATGTGTCGGGAAAAGCAATGGGGGCAGTGTTGCTTCAAGGGGATCGCCCTATTGCTTACTTTAGTAAGGTCTTTTGCCCTCGAATGACGAAACCATCCACTTACCTAAGAGAGTTGCACGCCGTGACTAGTGTTGTCAAGAGATGGAGGCAATATTTGTTGGGACATTATTTCACTATCCAAACAGATCACAAAAGCCTCAAGGAACTCCTCACCCAAGTCATCCAAACCCCTGAGCAGCAGTTCTAGTTATCCAAACTTTTGGGATATCATTATGAGATTCAATACAAGCCGGGTAGGAGCAATGTGATTGCAGATGCATTGTCTAGATCGATTGAACCAAGCAAGGCCACCATCTTTGCTATGACCATTCCGCAATTTCTGTTCCTTGAGGAGCTTAAGAAAGAGATTGAGATGAGTGATGAGGTTAAGAATTTTCGGGCACAAATCCTTGGTGAACCTGACAGTCACCCAGGTTACACCATCAGAGAAGGGCTGATTTTGTATAAGGGCAAGATATGGATCAATTCTGACTCACGGTTCAAGTTCCTTTTGATGAAGGAATTCCATGAGACGCCGATTGGGGGTCACGCGGGTGTTTTAAAGACGCTCAAGAGACTTGCAGCAAATTTTCATTGGGCAGAGATGCGAAGGGATATAAAACAGTTTGTAGCCAATTGTGTGGTTTGCCAACAGACCAAGTATAGCACAGCCAAACCCAGTGGATTGCTCCAGCCACTTCCAATTCCTGAAAATGTGTGGGAGGACATTTCGATGGATTTTGTCACCGGGTTGCCAATTTCGAATGGTTACTCCGTAATTTTGGTAGTTGTTGATCGCTTCTCAAAGGCTGTCCATTTGGGAGCACTGACAGCCCAATTTACTGCTTATAGAGTTGCGGAGGTATTCGTCAATTTGATCTGCAAGTTACACGGTATCCCAAGGAGTATCGTATCGGATAGAGATCCGGTGTTCGTCAGCAAATTCTGGGCTGACTTATTCAAATTCAGTGGCACCTTGCTTCGCATGAGTTCGTCGTATCACCCGCAAACAGACGGACAAACCGAAGTCACCAACCGAACCATTGAACAATACTTGCGTGCGTTTGTTCATGACAAGCCAAGCAACTGGTTTCGTTTTTTGTCATGGGCAGAATATCACTATAACACTTCGTATCACACTGCTGCCGGTTTGACTCCTTTTCAGGTTATGTTCGGCAAACCCCCTCCGTCAATTCCTTCGTACACTTTTGGGTCTTCGTCTGTGGATGCGTGTGACTGGACGTTAAGCGATAGGGAAGCCATTTTGCAAGTGCTTCGTAAGAATTTAGAGAAGGCTCAGAAACGTATGAAGCTAGTTGCGGATGCCCACGGGCGAGAAGTAGAATTTGAGGTAGGTGACTTGGTGTATGTGAAACTGCAGCCCTATCGTCAATTATCTCTCGCCAATGCTAAGTACAACAAGCTTTCTAAGAGGTATTACGGGCCGTTTCCGATTATTGCGTGTGTTGGAAAGGTCGCTTATAAACTAGAATTCCCTTCATATTCCAAAATTCACAATGTTTTCCATTGTTCGGTTCTCAAATTGCGTAGAGGACCAGACCCTACTGCTGTTGATGAGTTGCCATTTGAAGATGTTGACAATCACCCGGTGATCACACCTTTAGCAATTTTGGCTACAAGGGAGGAAGTGATTGACAGAACAGTTCAACAACAGGCTTTGGTGCAATGGCGAGGACTTTCTCCAGATGACACATCCTGGGAACCTTGGCAGAAGCTAACATCTATCTACAACCTTGAGGACAAGGTTGGTTTTGATGGGGAAGGTATTGTTATGACTCAAGGGAGAATTGGGCTCACAAGTGACAGGCCCAAAAGAACAATTAGACAGCCTGTCAAGTTCAAGGATTTTGCCATGAGAAAATGAGATCATCTAGAAGGTTGTTAGTATTAGTTCTTTGTAGTGGGTTGTTTACACGTCATCACAGAATAATCACTAGATTTGCAGTTTGTTAGGATTTCGATTTCCTATTTATGCATTGTACTTTTCTTCGTTTGAGACATCAATGAAATAACAACTATTTCCTCATCTTTCTTCTTAGGAGGCCCTTAGTACTCGAAATCTAAGGAAATACTGTTACTTAACACATCAATTATTCAATCAATCTAAAAAAAGTTAAATTTGCTTATAATATGGTATGGAGAGAGTATATCAAAAGTAGACTCAGGGGAAGTTTGAGTAAAAACTTTATAAACATTTTGATTAAGTTACCTGAGTCTAGGATAAAAAGAGTTAAAAAAATTGTAGAATGAAATTACCTGGAGTTTAGTATCACGAACCCTGCGATATTAGCTGCCATACGAAGTGTTTCTCTCCATATCATTTCCCTATTAGCTCCACGTAGGAAACTCCATATCATTTCCCTATTAGCTCCACGTAGGAAAAGGATATCCTTTCCGTCTGTAATTTTGTTCAAAAGACGTTGAAAAGCTATTCCAAACTGGCCTCTCTGATGACGCACTTCAGAAGGATCTATATGGTAAAACACCGGAACAACAACCTGCCCTCTGTCTATGCGACAATTCATTATTTTCTCCAATTCATCGAGACACCATCGTGAATCGGGATAATTTATTGAAAAAACAATTATAGAAATCTGAGACTGTGCGATTGCTAGTGATAAAGATGGTGAAATTTGATCTCCTATTTGAAGGTCATTATCGTCAATAAAAACCTTAATTCCGGCATTGAGAAGAGCGGTACAGAGATGTGAAGTGAAGGAAGCACGAGTATCTTCTCCTCTGAAACTTAGGAACACGTCATGGACCGTCATTACTGATATTGGTTCCGTCTCATTACGCCGCCTTAACACTAACAAAAAAAGAGATGAAGAGAATGAATAAATGTATGGCTTCAAACTAAATTCATATAAAGTAGAATAAATTAAAATAATCAATTCTTCACCTCCTTCCGCAGTTGGAAATTCCGACGTTGATGAGGATGATGAGGAAAGCTTTGTATCCTTCATTATAATTTTATCCATTTAGTTGAATCAGAAAATGGTGATGGCAAAACCTTTGTAACAAAATAGTGATGAATTTCACAAGAATCAGAAAAGATGGAAAAGGAAGAGGATAAGAAACGGTGTGAAGTGTGAACTTTATCAGTCAGGGATACTGTCTTGAGTCAACCTTGGCGGAAAAGAAAAGGCCAAATGATTAATATACTTTAAACAAAACTAATAAATATAAAAGTAAATAAGTCTACATTTTAATTATTGAAAAGTAAATAGTAAAAGGAAATGACCAAAAAAAGGTACTTTTAAGTAGATATTTACGACAGAAATACTTGCATGAATACTTTTTAATTAGGATATTGGAGTGGTTGTGATCAGGGGGGTGTTCGCGGAACGGTTTAGGCAATTTTGAAGTAAAAAATTACTCGAATCGCAAGAGAAAAAAATATGCGGTTCGGTTTGGTTCGGTTGGCTTTTAAAAATAAATTCGAACTAAATCAAATCAAATTAATGCGGTTTGGATTGATTCGGTTGATTCAGTTTTTTACAAAAAAAAAATTATTAAGTCATACAAACAAATATAGATGAAAATATAATTTTGAATTTAATTGTTCGTATATTACCATAAAAAAATTTATAATTGTCAAAATAAGTTTATAATTCGATACATAAAATTGCGTATTATAATTTTATCTAAATCTAAAGAATGATATAAACAAGATTGCATTCTTAAATAAATATTATACAAAGAATACGATAAAATATATTTTGTGAAAATAATATTTATAAATAAATAATATTTTATTTTTTTATGATTTGTAAATTAAAATGAATATATTACAAAGTATAATAAAATATACACATAAAACATGTTTATTTCTCTAAAGAATTAAAGAAATATATATTGGTTAGTAAGATTTTATAACATAATACGGTTTTGTTTGGTTTGGTTCGGTTTATGAAATACAAACCGTAAATCAAACCGAACCGTGCGGTTCTGTGAGAAAATGACCCAAACACATCTGAATCAAATGCGATTTTTTGTGGTTTTGATTTGGTTCGGTTCGGTTTTATGATTTTTTATTGGACCGATTTGGTTTTGAACACTCCTAATTATGATAAAGAAAGAGAAAAAAAAAACTTATTAAAAAAAATTATAATTAGTTGTTTCTAAATTCAATTATTATGTTTATGTTCGTATAAATATTTTTCTATTTAAGATTGTGTAAGAGGACTAATACTTATTTGGGCACAACTCCAACAAATAACTATTTAGATATCTATTATACTTTTTCTTTTTAAAATTATTTCAAAAACAACCAAAAAAAATTAACTTTATATTTAAGTTTTTTTTCAGTGTGCTCAAAATTCCTAAATCCATGTGCCTATGTAAAGACTTGCTCGTGTAACAGATAAAAGAAAATAGAGTTAAAAGATAAGATATAATGATTTCCATTAGTGATTAGGAAGGTCTAAAAAGACAGTCATATCTCATATAAAATCAAAAGGTAGATTTACCTTTATTTTAAAATTTTAATTAAATATTTTTTTATTATATCTATTTATTTTATTAAAAGTGGTAAGGACATTTTAATTCTTAATCATTTTTTAAAGTGTATATTAATCTAATCATTAAAATATTGGTGTGGGATTTTGGATCGAACTCTAGTTGGTCGAAGTAGGGTCTAGCATGTATTTGTCAAAGGATGCTTGTCGAATTAGGTTTTAGTGTTTAAACCCTAATTTGTTAAGTTAGCTTGTTTGTTAAGTTAGCTTGTATAATGGGCCTTGTGGAAAAAGCCCATTAGTTAGTATGTTAGGTTTTATTATAAATAGCATACTAGTCTCTCATCATTGCAACACAGCAAATCCTAATTTAGGGTGAGAGGGTTATTTGTTATTCTTGTAAACTTGTAATCTTGTTTCCTAAGAGAAAGTAAAGAATAGCAGTTATAACCAATTCTTGTGTTCTTCTTCTTCCTTGTTCTTTATTCTTCCCTTATTCTATACTTTGTTATTGGCATTGAATTCACAACAAATTGGTGCGGTGAGCATGGAGAAGATGCCTTCGACAAAGTATGAGATCGAAAAGTTCACCGGAGTGAATGATTTCGGTCTATGGCGCTTGAAGATGAAAGCCCTACTGGTTCAGCAGGGTTGTTTGGAAGCGTTGAAGGGAGCGACGTCGATGGACGCTGCGTTAACAGAAAGAGAGAAGACGGCCATGATCGAGAAAGCACACAGCGCAATTTTGTTGAGCCTTGGTGATAAGGTTCTTCGACAGGTATCAAAGGAGACGACGGCATCAGGGTTATGGGTGAAACTTGAAAGTTTGTATATGACCAAATCTCTGGTAAATCGACTCTACCTGAAGCAAGCTTTGTATTCATTCAAGATGATTGAAGACAAAGTGTTGGCTGAGCAGTTGGATATGTTCAACAAGCTGATTCTTGATCTTGAAAATATTGATGTAAAGATTGATGATGAAGATCAAGCGCTGTTATTATTGTGCGCTTTGCCCAGATCACATGCTCACTTCAAAGAAACCCTCTTGTATGGAAGAGAGTCCCTGACCTTTGAAGAAGTTCAATCAGCTTTGTACTCTAAGGATTTGAACGAACGTAAGGAGCATAAACCTTCGACGGTTGGTGAAGGTTTGGCTGTTAAAGGAAAATTCGACAAGAAGAAAGGTAAAAATCAGTCGAAGTCTTATAGTGGTGACACATCTGGTATTAGATGCTATCACTGTAAGAAAGTAGGTCACACAAGAAAGGTGTGCCCTGAACGCCTGAAAGATCATGGAGGTAAGGATAATGGCAATGCAGCTATTGTCCAAGATGATTTCGAATCATCTGATGTTCTTGTGGTTTCAAGCAACAACTCGTCGAAGGAGTGGATTATGGATTCTGGATGCACTTGGCACATGACTCCAAACAAAGACTTGTTCGAGGAATTATGTGATCAAGATGGTGGATCGGTATTGCTGGGAAACAACAAAGCTTGCAAGATTGCAGGCGTTGGATCTGTGAGATTCAAGCTCCATGATGAGTCAATAAGACTGTTGACTGAAGTCAGGTATGTACCTGATTTGAAGAGAAATTTGATTTCTCTTGGTGAATTCGACAAGAAAGGATATGTTTTTTAAGGAGAGAGAAGTATCCTGAGAGTCATGAAAGGGTCGAAGGAAGTCTTGAGAGGCGTGAAGAAACAAGGCTTGTATACCCTTGAGGCTGAAGTTGTAAGTGGTTCGACAAATGTTGCATCCACGAAACCTTTGTCGAAGACAGAAATTTGGCACATGAGATTGGGCCATGTCATTGAAAGGGGTCTGGTCGAATTAGGGAAACAAAATCTGCTTGGTGGAGATAAAGTCGAAAAGCTGAAGTTTTGTGAACCCTGTGTACTTGGAAAGTCCTGTAGAATGAAGTTCAACAAAGGCAAACAAAGAACACATGGATCCCTTGATTACATCCATGCTGATCTTTGGGGGCCTGCAAGGTGTCCATCACATTCAGGAGCAAAGTATTTTCTATCCATAGTAGATGACTATTCCAGAAAGTTATGGGTATTCATCCAGAAGACTAAGGATGAAACTTTTGAGAATTTCAAAAGTTGGAAGACTCTTGTTGAAAATCAAACTGGCAGAAAGGTAAAAAGGTTGAGAACCGACAATGGCCTTGAGTTTTGCAATGAGGCGTTCGACAGTTTTTGTGTTGCCTCTGGTATTGCAAGGCACAGAACTACCGCAGGTACTCCACAACAAAATGGTTTGGCTGAAAGGTTTAATCGAACTATTTTGGAGAGAGTTAGATGCATGTTGACTAGTGCGGGATTAAAGAAGGTGTTTTGGGCTGAGGCTGTTTCGACAGCAGCATATCTGATAAACAGATGTCCTTCGACAGCGTTAGATATGAAGACACCTGAAGAAGTTTGGTCGGGACATCCACCAGATCTCGACAAACTAAGAGTATTTGGCTGTGTAGCCTATGCTCACATTAGGCAAGACAAGGTCGAACCTAGAGCTCTGAAATGCATGTTTATGGGATACCCTGAAGGAGTGAAAGCTTATAAGCTATGGTGCCTAGAGCCAGGTCACAGGAGGTGTATCACCAGTCGAGATGTAGTTTTCAATGAAACTGAAATGGCTTTCAAGAAAACTGATGATGTTGACGAAGAGCTGGAACAGGTAGAGATTCCTGTTGAGGTGGAGCATGTTGATGCTGAAATGCGTATCCCAGATGAAGTCGAAGAAGAAACAGAAGATTCTGATGATGTTGAGGAAACTGTTGATGACTACCTATTGTCGAGAGATAGGCAAAGAAGAGTCATAAAACCACCTCAGAGACTTGGATATGCAGATCTTGTAGCTTATGCCTTAATCTCTGCAAGTGAAGTTCTAGACGAAGAACCTAGAGATTATAAGGAAGCTATAAGGAGTCGAATGAAGACTGAATGGCTAAAGGCCATGCATGATGAGATGAAATCTCTTCATGATAATCACACTTGGGAACTGATCAAGAAACCTGTTGGGGCAAGGTTAGTCAGCTGTAAGTGGATTTTCAAAGTTAAGGAAGGAATTGAAGGAGTAATGTCGAAGAGGTACAAGGCAAGATTAGTCGCAAGGGGTTTCACTCAGAAAGAAGGTGTCGACTTCAATGATGTATTTTCCCCTGTTGTGAAGCACAGATCCATTCGAATGTTGCTTGCCATGGTGGCTCATTTCGACCTTGAACTGGAACAAATGGATGTGAAGACTGCGTTCTTGTATGGTGACTTAGACGAAACAATCCTGATGAGGCAACCTGAAGGGTATGTCGAAAAGGGGAAAGAAGATTATGTGTGCAAATTGAAGAAATCTTTATATGGACTTAAACAATCTCCTCGACAGTGGAATAAGAGATTCGACAAGTTCATGGAACACATAGGTTTCATTAGAAGTCAGTTCGACCATTGTGTTTACTCCAGATTTCGACCTGAAAATTCATTTGTTATTTTGTTGCTTTATGTTGATGATATTCTGATAGCAA